GGCACCACTATTCTTTTACAATAATGGCACAATTTTCCTTGCTTCAATTATAAAGACTACTTCTGCACCACTGCTTAAGTATTTCTCTATCAAAACATTTCCTACAATGCTTATGCAATCACTACATGGACTAGATTTACAACCAACATTGCTAACATTACTACCATTATCACATTAAAGTATCTAATCTTTGCCCCCGGCTCAATTACAAATAATTTTTCTATTCCAAACTTTATATAATGACATGGTTTCTATACACCTACTAAGTCTAATCTATAAAAATTTATCTCTGCTGCCAAGTTCTTTGTTATTGTATTATAATATAATTATATGGTAAAAGATAAAAATATTGGTTTTATTATAAAAGAGCTTTTTTGAAAGATATAGTAGCAAAATATGAATAAAATATGAAAAGGTAATAAAAATATTTAGTATTAATTCTATTTTTTAATTAAAAAAAGACTTATAATTACTTTGTATGGTTGTAAATAAGACAAAAAAAAATAGATGAGATAAATAATTAATACAGACATCATTAAAGAATAATTTGTAGCAAAAATTACCTTAACAAACCAAGAATTGATATCCAAAGAGGACTAATTATGAACTAAGATTGAAATCAAATCTTCAAGAAAAAAACTTTATACTTATGATAATTCGATGTCTTTTATAAATTAAAAAATATAGTTTGTAAGAAAAATCTAAGAGGGTTTTTTTAGCATTTATTTTATGTGATTTGGATTCATTATGAATTTTAAAGAGCTTTTCAAAATGAAAGATGTATTTAGAGATTTTGGATTTTAAAAAATTAAGAAAGACTTATATATTTGAAGACTTTGTATATATTATAAGAAAATTTTAGATGAATTTTTTTGAATTTATTATTGTACTTGACTTAGTTTTACTTTGAAAATTTAAAGTCAATAAAATAGTTAAATTTAAGGATATGGCAATTTTATTGGATTAAGATCTCAGATATTTGAATTTTAGATTTAGTAAGATTTTTAATAATCTTAAAATTTTGTAAGTTAGATTGAAGCAAAAATTTGTGAAAGCATTGTAAGCTTGCATATCTATACTTTTTTTTAATTTAGAGAGCATTTGAATAATTTAATAAGGAGTAATAAGTGCATAAAGATCAACATTTAGGTTGGAGAAGGAAGACGACTAATATCCAAGAGTATTAAGAGCTTCTTCTTCTCATGGATAAGTTCAATTTTTTTCAAACTTTTTATCCTTGCTTTTAGTCTAAAAATTTCAATATGAAAAAAAATTAATTGAAATCAGCAATTTAATTAATTGCTATTGGAAATTTAAAATAGATATAGAAAATTAATTAGAATTTTTTTCGGATTTTATTAGGATTTACTTATGATTATTTATGATTTCATTAGATTTTTTAAAGGCCACATTTGGATTTTCTTAGGATTTTTTTAAGATTTATTTAGGATATATTTAGAATTTTTATTTTTATTATTTATTTAGGATTTTTTATTATTTTATTATAATTATTTATATTTATATATATTTTTTTTTTTAAGATTAATTTATGATTTATTTATATTTCTTTTGTAATTGATTTAAGACTTCTTTTAGATTTGAATAAGGTTTGATTAAGATTTTTAAGATTTAATTGAATTTTATTTAGAATTCTATTAGAATAGTTAAGATCTTGTTGTTGCAATTTTTATTTTATTTTTTATAGTTAAGTGCCCAATGCATTCTTAAACAAGACTTCACATAATACAACATTGTTGTATAGAAGCCTCTATAAATTCATTCCAATAAATCCACCCTTATCTTATCATAGTAGTCATGTATCTAGAACTTTATTTTATTCATGTTGTTTCATTGACTATTGCTTGAGCCTCAAAATTATGGCATATGTGGGATATTATGCCTATCAACCTCGGCAATTACAACACCACTTTCTTTCTAATGCAAATCTAGCAACCTAGACTCTCTAATAAAGACTCCAAAAATTAGCCAATTTCTCAACCATCCAAACTTTTTTGGTAAAGACTCCAAAGATTAGCCAATCTTTCAATCACCATCAATTATTTAGCTCAAAATGTCCTTTCATATTACAAAGGATGTGCTTCCTTTGAAGGACTTCCAAAGAACTATAATATTGAATTATCTAGGCCCAATATCAATCCTTGACCACCTTCAATATCTAAATGGATTTTGCTCATCTTAGTCAATGTGCCCCTAGAATCTAATACATACCATCAAGCCATCATCTTAATCAATGCTTATCACTAGTTAATAGGCCATAGCAAATAAAGTAAATTCCATGCATCAAATAATATTTAGGTGTTTACAAAAAAAATTCATAATTATTATATAATTATATAATTATATGTAAGTAAATTTTTAAAGTCAAACTATAAAATAATAGCCATATTAATTGCTTCAAAGTGCAAATTTTTACTGGTGGCTTCAATCAGATCTTAGGAATTGATTATAACAAAACATTCTTTTTTGTTGTACATATTTAGTCTATTCCATTGATTTTGATCCTAGCCATCAAATTCAATCTCTATGTTCACCAAATCGACGTCAAATCTACCTTCTTCAATGGCTTAATATGCAAAAAAATCTTTATGCAAGTTTTAGATGATATTATTTTTCTCTCCCCTCTTCCATTTTCTATCTAATCTACCATCTCCAAAAGTCCTTCTATAGCCTAAAATAATTTCTACAAGAGTAATTTAAGATTACCAATTCTTTTCTTGCTACTTTCAAATTTATCAACTCTATTATTGATCAAAATATATACTATTTAAGTCATCGACAAGACTTTGTTATTTTTACCTTATATGTTGATAATACTATGATTACAATCAATAACTTATCACTTCTCTAATTCATTAAAAACCAATCATATTTTTAATTTCTACTCTTCAACTTGGAAGATTTCTAATATATATTCAAGCTTTAAGTTATTGGCAACATCTATGGTGGTTGACTTGAGGTTATTTAAAGCTAGTTTTTTAAACAAAAATCCATAGGATTTGGCTTCTTTGATGTTCAACTAGAGTCCACCTTAATCACTTTTAATACTAAACTATCTGCAGCCAACTATCCTATAATATTCAAAGACAACCAAAATTCAAAATCCTTTTCATATGCCAATACAATTGACTCTTTAAATTGGGCCAATATTTGTACTTTTCTTGATCTTACTTTTGTGATTGATATTTTGATGTAGTATATGCACAATTCTAGCCCAAAACATGTCTAAGTCTATAAATGTATTTTTTGTAATATTTATGGCTTACTTTCATGCCCCTTGTTTGATTTTAGCCATGCAAATTAGGTTGGCAAGATAAACAAATGTTTTTCTATCTTAGAATATGTCTTCTTATTTTATTAAGATGCTATTGGTTGGACTTGAACTTTCAATATTCTATCACATTTTCTAGAATATAGGTGGAATATATGGCTATGGCTATAGCTATGGCTACTTTTGAAGGCATTTGCCTCTATAATTTGTTCCATAACCTTCATCAATTTGAAATCTTAATCAATGCCATATTCATTTGATTTGATAATCATTCAAAGCTACTTTTGATTGATATAACAAAATTTTACTCTCATAAAAAATATATTGCTATTTTCTATCACTTTATTTGATAAATTTTAGTTCATAAGAAAATCACATTTGACTATTGTCTTAATAGCAATATAAGAACCAACATTTTTATAAAACCTTTATCCAATCTAAAGCTTGTTTAACATCTTCCACTGCTTAGCATACTTAGAAGACAACCAAACCTCCATTACAATGAGCACAATCAACTTAAATGGGTATATTAGAAAACAAAAATTATAATAATCAATTTGTGGTATTTAGAAATACAGAGTTGTATCATGTCAAGTAATCACAATCCTTTTGGTGGCATCTTCTTTGAAAATATAAAACACAATGTTTAAATACAATAAAATAATTTTAAAATATATATATTATTAATAATAAAACTACTTATCTTAAAAGTAACTAACAAGTTCTAATAATCCCAATTCTTCTTAGAAGAGATCTTAATCCCTTAAGCTATCTTTAGTTTTTTTATTTTGGAAGATGATTTATAACTTGGTACTCTTTCAATGAATAAAAAATAAAAGGTTCCTTGAAGCAAAAAATTAGAATACACTTTCTTTAGATACGTTTGTGTGTGTATACTACATTTTCACGAAAAAGGTTGGAAACGTATCCTTCTCTTTCATTTCATCATCAATTTAGAACTTATCCAAAACCGCCTCCCAGCCTAATAGACTGATGGTGGAGGCAGACTTCACACATAGTAGAGAAACAAGACAAAACTAGACATAAAATTACTTGTTTTTGTCTCCAACTACACTTTAGAAATCCCTACTGCTTACAGAAGTCATAAGTGTAGCTGCACATGGTATTTCCAACCTTCCCCTTACGGGAGCAACAGCTAACTCGTGTTTTTATCAAATGAACTGTAACTGTTGCTCTGCATCGAAACAACTGTACAATAGACTCTGCTATGGTACGTGAACCATAGACCATCTTTGACTACATATAAAAATGCTTCGTATTCAACACTAGTGCTTTAGAATCGTATTTAAGCTTTGCTTACATTGTTATTATTGTGATGTACCACAAAGAGACCACTAATGAGAGATCTAAAATCTGGTCGCCAGCAAATACAGTTTCATTCTAAGATGATGTGCTCGAAAATATTTATTGTGGATGACAAGCATATGAAAATAACCTACAATCAATAATAGTAGAACAAGTTTCAGATCAAAATAACCGTAGATGAAGCTGTGACACTGATTTGTAAGGGGGGTTTGTAATTAAGAAACACTGATACTATCATACAAAAAATGTAGAGACTGCAGGTATCTAAGCCAACAGAGCTCTTACCAAAAACTAAGTCATAAACTGCACACAAATGGCATATCTGTTCTGGCTAAAATGATGATGTAAAAATCACAAATGCATAGCTATCCACAAGGACTAGTGATTTTCAATAGGTTTTTTTTCGCTGAATATGCATCATGTGTCGGAATGATCTCCGACGTAACAATCAGTATCTATCAACGTGTCAGACGAATCGCAACAATGGATACAAATAGATTCTAACACGAAGGGCAGCTAATGAGATATCCAAAGAAAGAATTAACTTTATGTGCAAGACTTGAAACAGTTGAGTATTTGGCTACGACCTTTGTATTTGGAAGGAGTTATTGGCTACGATCAAACCAAATAGCTGGAGATTGCAGCAATCCTAAGACATGGTTGCCACTGCATCCTTTCAAACACGATCGCCGAACTTGCTAAAAACAAGCGTTTCTAGGGTGCAGCATTCTAAATTCAAAGGCATGAAACATTCTGCAATTCCACATGCCGCAAGGTTATGCTGACTACGTGGTGATGCCACCTACTGGAAGCAATGCTATAAAAAATTTAAGATGTTAGTTTCGACTGAGAGAGCAGAATATTCCCAAGCGTCGATTCGATCTCTCATTTTTTCCTTGAGCACCGACCTCCGCAAGTTCTCTGGCAAAGAAGTGCTTCGTAAAAGCCCACAATTCAACATTAATCTGCAGTCCTATACTCTTAGAAATTGCTTGCACCTCACTCTGAACGTAACCCCGATGAAAGGTCGAGGTGACAAATTGACGCTTCCGATTTGCACCGACAGGACCAAAATTGTAATCAGAGTGACTAATCACCTCCTTAAAGTCTCAAATCGACTTCAATAATTCCGGAACTTCGACATGTCAAGCATCTATGAATCCTAACAAAACCATCCTATCGGCTTTTTTCTTCACGTCGGAAATCAATCACAGAGCAGCGGTCTAAGCCCTAACAAAATGCATACGCCAAGAGCAATAAAGAGGAAATATGCACCCAACCTGATCGTAAAACCTATTACCTTGCCCAGTCTCGACATTGCGATCCATATTGAACGTGATATAATCAGCCAAATGATCTAGTACCCCAGTTAGACTGGTGTTGACACCCACGCCTAGCGCTCCGGATTGTGGATGATGTGAGCGACATCATTCCTTGCATTGCAAATCACCACTCAAATCGATGGATGCTAGAAACTCTCGTAGAAATCTCCGCAGCTGGTGCGAGACAAAGTAATCTAGGACACTCGGGCTTCTCCAAATCCCAGTCTCGCATCGTAGTGAGGGTTGTGCTACTATGGAAAGCTGTAGCCCACGCAATGGACCCAAAACTGGTTAACCCAACGAATTCCAGCTCAAAGTTCCACATAACTCAATCCAGACCCTGACGAGTGGAGGGACCGTAGCTCTTGCAGTGATAGGATTCACACAGTACATGCTTCCAGTGAGAAGAATAGGAACTAGGGTCTAGTCCTGGCATCATCGAAGAATATCCAAAGGCCCAGAAAGTCATGGAAGAATCCTAAGTGCACTTGCAATGGCAGTAACCTGGATGGAAGCATCATCAAGCAAGCGGATCTAGTCGCAAACAACGTCGCCCTGGGCTTCATGGCACATTTCATTCCAATGTGTGTGCTGCTTGCCTGATCCTGATGCTGAGCTATTCCCAATTGAACTTGCATTGACAGACCGGCGTTGCCAGTCTGTCGTTAAGTTTCTCCTCCGTTGTCGACGTCGAAGGCTTCAAGTGCTCTCAAGTCATCTCTTTCAAATTGGTGCATAATTCTTCAGTGCTGCCTTCGTTGGTTGCTCGAGTGAGACTTTGACTCTACATTGTGGGCATTTTAGCAACATTTCTCTGGAAATTTTCTTGGAAAATGAACGATAATTTTAAAAAAAATCAAAAAAAAAAAATCAAAATCAAAATTAAAATAAATATATATATATATATATATATATATGCACGAATGATGATAAGTCCTTTGGCAAACAACCCCCAGATTTATCAACCCTGTAACAATGCAATCAATGAGTTTTTATCCATAAAACAACTATTAGGTAGAGGGTTTTGCTCGCAGACATTGCTTCCTTTGAACTCAAATGATAAGTGAAAATATTTAAATGAAAAGTAAGCATTTGGAATTATAGTTTGAGGTGATATTTATTTATAATAATGTCTTAAATTTGAATTTGGACTTCAACAAGGTAGTTGTGATTAAGTGTTTATTTTTTACAACTACTTGTGTAGTATTGTTTTGAAGGCTAAGTATCTTTACTTAGAGTCAATGGACTCATTGCTCTCACTATCTAAAATAAGTGTGTACATTAAAGGATTTTGGCCTTGCTTGAATTTTTATTAGAATGAACATTACTACAAATTTTTATTCTTTCTAGGCTTAAGTCTACAAATAATTTATTGTTAGCTATAAAATAAAAAGTCTCAAATAACAAATAATATGCAAATACCAATTTAAGATTTTGTTAAAAAACTAAAAAAATAATATAAAAGTGTCAATTTGAAACCTACTATATAAGGTAATATATTTTTAAAAAATAAAAGAAGTTGAAATAAAATTTGTAATAAATACCAAATAGAAATAGCAACTGTAGATATAAAAGACATGAGTTCTATGCAAATCTATTCCTAGTCAAGTTTTTATTTAGTAATTAGTAAGTAATCTTTTTAAAATATTTGGTAGAATTAGAAATGTTGATATTTTTTAAATTTTTTATTTAAAAAAAATTCATGTCATTTACTTTTATAAAATCTTTGTTGTTATAATTTTTATTTTTTTATTTTTTGACATTGCAAAAGGTGAACCATGAGCAAGTTCATGTCAAGCTTTCTTAGGCTTTTGCAATTGGGATGTGAACAACTAGATTCTTTGGAATAAATTTCAAAACTCTTGGATCCAACCTACCATCATCTAGTGGTTTAGAATCATAGGGACCTAAATCTTTGTTGATTTTTATCTACAATTTATATATTTAATAATTAAACATAATCAATTATGTAAATAGATTTAGAATATATATATATATATATATATATATATACATACATATATATACATATATATATATAATCAAAAAAAATACAAAGTATTGAATCATAATAATATTATTTTATTTTTAGAACTACTAAAAAAATAAAATAAATAAAGATTTATTTTTTACTAAAATAAAATTTGTTGAAAGTGATGTTTCAGGATAAAATAAAATAAAATTAAGATTTGAAAGATCTGAGAGATTAATAATACATCATATTTTTTTAAAAAATAAAATTATTAAAAAAAATACTTATTATACATACTTATTACACACACTCATCTATCAATAAAAACATAAAATAGAACAATGTTAAATATAAAAATATTTATTTATTTACTTATTTAAATTTTATTTTTTAAAAATAAATATGAGATACTCATATAACACACTTTTAAAAATTATTATCTAATTTAAAATTCAGTTTCTTATATTTTCTATTAAAAAATATAGTATTTATTTATAATATTAGTTTGAGTATAATAAAGGGAAATAAAACTTCAAAAAAAATTCTTTAAATAAAGGCATTCAACTTGAATTTTAAATTAAATATTTTCTAATTATATTTATTTAACATAGAAAATATAAAATATTATCTATAAAAACACGAATATATAAATAAATAAATCAGATGGATTTAAATTCTTATGATATCTTATCCAATTTCTTTCTAATAAAGTTTTTGTAAAAAATTACTTATATATATAATATAATTCAAATATTTTATTTATTCATAATAAGAATAATATAGAACAAGTATAGTTATATAAATATGACACTAAAAATATATACATATTGTTTTAAAAAGAAATTTGATTGACTTAGATATATTGTAAACTTTCTTAATTATTTAATTTTTATACAATATATTCTCAAAAATATTATTTTGATACAATAAATTTAAAACTCAAAATATAATTATTAAAATATTTAAAATAATAAAATTTAGTTTTATAATTTATTAAATTTAATTTTAATATTTAAGTTGATATACAACTAAAATTTATTTATTTATTTATAATAACCATTTAAAAATATAATTAAATAAATATATAATATTATATATTTAAATTATATATGTAATTTAGAAATATGAATAAATAAAGTTTTTGTAAATTAATAAAAAAATCTTCTATAAGATTTTTATTGTACATTAATAATCATTTAACATTTAATTTATCAAAAAAAATAAACTTATTTTACCTAGAATAAGGTTTAATAAAAATAAAATAAATTCATTAAAATCTAAATAAAAATATAAGTTAAGTAAACCAATATCTTAATTTTTAAAATCTAACAAACCAATATGTCTTGATCTTGAATTACATGCTTGATTAGTACTTCTTCAATATTTGCTTAACTCCCAAAATCAATCCAAATCAAATCTTTTACAACCTCATGGTTAATTTTATAAAATATTAAAAATAAAAATAATCTATTAAAAGTATTATAACTTAAAAAAAACATAAAATACTACTACATTTCTGAAAGTAAAAAATAGAATAAAAAAATCCTCAACTTGATTAGTTATTATTAATTAATTTCGGTAAAAAGCCTCTCACCCTTGTTGGCTAATTTCTTACAATCAAACATTGATTAAAGATAAAATAAGATCTCTAGTAAAAATCAAAATCTTTTTCCACCAAAGATATCAAACTCATTCTATCATTATCTTCATTGCTTATATTGAAAAAGTTACTAGATAACATCTTCCTTGGCTTAACCCTCTAAACGCCACAAAGAAAAGCATCTGCATGCATTACTCATACTAGCCCAGATTCAGCTCCAATTCACACACTTCAGTTCTGACACCATGCACCACGGCATCCACACACAGCCACTTTAAGCAAATCTCGCAAACAAGGTTACAGGCTTTCTAGGACTGCAAGCAAGCAAGCAAGGGTCCAAGGAACCCATCTCTTCATGAGCACATGAGAATGAAATTTGGGTGGATGTAGATGACCCAGCACCGCCACCACCACAATGGTGAAGCATACAACTCGGCGAGGATAGTACGCAGATCATTGGGAAGTTTGTGCTTTGTGGGTGGAATTCCATAACATGGGATGCTCACCTGCAGTTCTGATTCATCGACTGTCCTGCTCCGTAACTGTGCAGAGGTTGGGAGTATTGCTGGACACTATGCTAAGTTGGATTTCATTTTGTGCCTTGGACATTGGGCATTCGAGGGTGTTGTTGTTGTTGTGCAGAGATGGATGAATAGTTGCTCTGTCCTTCAATTTTAAGGAGTGGACCAGGTCAAGGCCAGGTTCATAATCACAGGTGTGCTTTGGATTTGAAACCGAGAGAGAGAGAGAGAGAGCTTGTTGATTCGGCCGCTACTTTTCGACAGAGATCTGGAGGCGAGCGGACTTTATAGTGGTATCTTTTAGACAATTCTAGCGAAGATCGTGGGGACCAGGGCTTGCTATATACATTTCTGGATCGGCGTGGCTGATTACAGCTAAGGGACTCTCTCGATAGGAGCATGGAGAAGAAAGATAGGGCGTGAAGAAATGTGTAGTTGAGACTCTCCAGACGCACTTGAAATGTCAGATCATGCATTCTTTCGATGATCTTCGGGTGAAGAAATGCAGTAGCCAATGAGGGCTTGCAACCGTGGCTGCGTTCTTGGGAGATGTGATTCGCGGAGTTCTGCGCTTCCCACTCGGTTGGTTTTAGCAGGACTAGTCTTGGAATGCCGCACAGCTCTGCTTAGTCACCAAAGAATTCATGATGAAATATGATTTGGATTTGTCTCTTCTAATTTTTGAGGTGTCGAAAGTGAGAAGTTGAACTTCGAGGAGGATATTTGTCACATGGGAATCGCAGGACACAAATTTAGGCAAACTTAAGACAACCCAGACACAAAACGCAGCTCATAGTACAAGAGGGACCTTCACTTTAGTATAACAGACAATTACATACGATAGTTAATTCCAGATTCGAACATCGAACAGAAAGGGCGCCACTTGGATTAAATTTACTATGGCTGTCCGAAATCAGAGCTTGGTATCACTAGGTCTTCCTTCAGACAACTGTGACAGCAAAAACATCTAGTCCAAAAATCACAGCAACTTCTAAATTCGAAAAACCACAAAGGAATCCGGGAGACTTACTGTACACTAGGTTCAACAGATAACTGACCTGCAACATTCAGGTATCACAATTGTATCAACACAAGTCATTTAGTAATATAGACAACTTGTTCACATCTACTCTCCCAGTGAGCGAGGACATTGAGTTTGTGTAATCAGGATGTTCAAGAGACTCAAATAGCTTGCACTTGCCGATCAAATCAGACGACTGATCAAATAGTTACTCATAACTTAACGGCCACCCCTATACTTGAACATCCAGCGAATATAGAGACATCTGAAGTGTCGTCTAGACATGGTAACGGAACCAAGCTTAATCAATTCGCAAGCATGAAGCATGAAGCATGAAGCATTCAACGCCAACTGCAATTTCATCGACTGCCACTTTTTCCTGTGTTATCCAGATGAACGACCATGCAATCTAATCCACATTATTTTGCTAGTGACTGGTGTTTTCATCAGCAAGGGCAAAGTAGTCACCTCAGAACCTTATCCTACAAATCCCAGCCCACATGGAACTCCTTATTAGGATGGGTTTGTCCTCACTATCCTGCATTTATTAACCACTGACATGGTGCCCACGGAAGAATGTCAACGGACTAGCAAACAAATCAGAAAGGTATAGTCAAATATGTGCTGAATGCCGATGGAATGGCGAAAGGTTCGACCCGTTGACTGGATTCATATATGCAAGAATATGCCAAATATTTGTCAGTCTTATTCGATGGATGAGAGCTAACCTACCTTAGCACAATGTCCGTGTTGGAAGCAATTCAAGCAGAGTGAAATACTTCAGAAAAGAGTGATTGCACAGCAAGTCTGAGAAAGAGGGAGGAAAAAGCACTCTGTGTCAGAAAATATATATTTTTCATCGTCCACCATATAGTCCGATTCTAGGATCACGTTATTTCTGAACTAAAACGAATAACACTGGTATAGATTCAGTCAACAAATTCAATAGATACAGTACTTTCTGCCTCGCCAAACTTCAAGTATTAGTATGAAAGGAGATATTGCATCAGGCAGTAATTGAAATCAATCTTAATGCAGTGCGATTCATTAATCATTTTTCACTACCCTTTTAATGTTATGTGTGTAAAAAGACTCATGAGAACGATCCGAAGGAGAGTAGAAGCACCTGCTTTGGTCAGCTCATTACAGGAACCGTTGTTTACAAAGCATATGGTCATAGGATTTCAAAACATTGTTTCGTGCATCAATGACAATCATGATTACTCTGAAGGAGATGTAGAAATAAAGAAACAAGAAAATATATATATATATATATATATATATATATATATAACAGACAAACAAGCAGCCTAACTGAAGTTACTGTACTAAAAGAATACTTTTCTGTCAAACTTTTCTTTGATTCGCGACTTGTGAACAAATTATTTCCAACCAGGCTGAAACTTACGCAGTCTAGGTTACTAACCTTCAAGACTGATATGCTCCAAATATTGAGTTTAAAATACAAGCATCTAATTGTACATTCTGTTAAGGGACTTTGAATTTTTTTTCCTACTTCAGATAGTGGTAGTCCGTGGCAGGAGAATTGTATTTAGTAAATTACTGAAATTGAAACAGCTGCAAAGCTCGAACTTCCGTGACCAAACTGAGTTTTTTTTGGCGAAGGTACAGATTTGAATGATAGCACAAGATGAAACTTGAATAATTGATACAACAGTCACATGAATAAATGACAACAGGGTCCTAGTTTATCTGACAAAAAGTATGCGGGAAAGCCCCCACCTCCCATCCCTCCCCTCCTCGCATGTACAAGGATCCGAGTGTTGTCTGTAGTATGAGAAACAGTACAGTATCCGGATGGTAAAATTGCACCTATTCTCCTATTCACCTATACTCTAAATGTAGCAACATCTTCAGAGACACAAGGTGATTCTTCCGAGGCTTCCTTTTCTCCAAAATTATGTTCATTCATCAAGTCCATCTAAACATCGAGCATTCATAACTGCACTAAATATACAAAGGTTTAATGTACACATAACACAGTAGGCTCCTCAAAGTAGGATTCATTCTATACTCACCATCATTTGAGGTCAGGCAATGCTATGCCGAAGCTGCTGTTTCATTGTTATCTTCTCCGTTGTCACTTCAGGGCTAACAGAGTCACGAGAAGACTCCGAGCTTGAGAAGCCCCTCGTGGCAAAGAGCTTATTGAAGAGCTTTTCAGGCTTGAATGTGGACAACACCCCTTTGGCTTTCATATGCTTGCTGGTGTTATCGTGCTGCATTCCACCGCGCTCTCTCTCTGCTTCTGCAATGCGCTTCTTGATGCTAGCAAGATCGCCCTTCAAGGCAGTGAAGTCTTGGTGCACCGTTTCCCAGTTCTCATCCCCGGTGGAGGTCTCTCTGTGGTTGCCATTGTTAGCTTCTGGAAAACTGATCTCTTCGCCATACTCAGGCTGCTGGATGTTACCCGGATGGTCGTCTGGGAGGAGGCCCCCGTTTACAGCAGTTCGGACTTGCTCAAAGAATAAGACCTGCAAGCATAAAATTTTACTTTAGAGGGAGTTTTAGAAACAAATTGTACGACACAATCTTCGAAAAGCTTGCAGAGAGTAAAAATGCTCAAGTTAAGCCCCATCTACGCCCTCGTCAGGTTGAAGGCGTATCATTTGCTCAAATCGCCATTATGTGCAAGTTTACTTGATACTTGACTTGCAACTAAACCACTTCCATGTTTATTTCAAAAGAAAATGTGACACAATATTGAATGCGTCGTAATTGGCTTTGGGCATTACATCATCGAATGGGTGAAGCAACTGACCTGAACCACAACTCGCAACGGAAGGCGATCATTCTGAGCTGCGTGCATGCACGCGTCCATAGATAACTTCTTACAGTCCATTAATCGGCAAATCTTTTTCCGTTCACTCTTTGTCATGTGTTGATGTTCCTACACACCAAGTTTAATTGGATCGAGCTGAGCAACTGACCTCTCACATCTAATTTCGAGAACATAATCCTGTGTGGATTTACAGGGAGGATTAAAGTTTCTCTAGCATGGAATAGTTGTACAAGATTTATTGCCCAACACATAGAATGAAACTATTATGAGTTTAGGTCAAACCTTGAGATACATGTCAATGGCGCGGTACAGACCATCATGGACAGGGCGTGCATAGTCAGGCACCAGCTCCGCAAGCTGGATAAACTTTGCAAGGGGCATATTCGCATCCCGTGCAATCTCTGCAAGGTAGCGGTCTACGAGCTTCGCTACTTTCAGTTGCGAACTATGAGTAGCCGCTGTCATTCGGTGCTCAGAGCCGTTGAAATCAAACTCTACATTGCCAGTTAGGAGATCGCTTCTCTCATGCTCCTGAGGACCTTGAAACTGCATCATGTAATATTCCATAATTCGTATCATTAAATCAATATCACAGACCGTATCGTTTGAATATGACACGGAAGGAATCATCAGATCATGTAGGGAGGCTTCTTCCAGCTGCAGACCAACACGCCTAGCAAGCTCCAGTTTGGTGGAAGATGATGCGTCAAGGAAGGAGGCTGCCTTCAGCAACCTTAGCAAGAAGATACAGGAGGATGTGCCTTTCTCCGAGGGTAGGAGGCTGACAACCGTTTCCAGCACTTGCTTGTCTTTCGCTGTCATCTCCATGAAATTATACGAACGTCCCTCACTCGAAGTGTCTTGAGTTTGTGGCTCCTGTAATACATCTGGTATATTCTTGAGCGTATAAATTCTGATGGATTCAGCCACCAGCTCTTGGGCTACACCTTTGGATTTAATTGCTAGAATAACTCTCTTATAGAGATCGATGTCCAAATCACTCAAATCTTCAACCCACCAATCCGCAGGCACAGGTGCCATTCTGTGGCTGCTGCTCCGCTCAGTACAAGACGCCTGACGTGGAGTGGATGATGTGAGTGGTCTGGAGTTTGTAAAAGACCACGTTACCTCAGCAGGGTTGACGCAAGTCTTCGATGCGATTGACTCGATGCATCGTCCCATGATCTGTTACAAAGTTTCAAAACTATTGATCAATAGACAACCGACCGGACAAAGATGTTCTACATAAGTCAGATGCTGAATGTGAAGTGAATAGATAAGCTGTGGACTGACCTTAAGATCTTCGCACCATGGCATGTAGGGTTTACTGCTGCGAAGACATATTATAGCATCCTTCCAGCCTCGCAGTATTGATGAATTCAAAAAGACTTCAAGCTTGTATATCATGTTGCTCTTCTCAGTGGCTTCAGTCATCTGAAGAAACTCTGCGCCACATCGCACCTCACCCACGTTGTGGGGACTCAAGGTGATGGTGATGCCGTAGCAGTACTTGGCACACATCTCGAAGCATTCTACTCCTCCTGGGAAGTCATATATGAGGACCTCCTCACTTGCTGACTCCAGCGCTGATGCAATCAATTTGTTAAGGCATCCCCATTTCGCCAACAAGGGAAACTTACAACAGCCAACAGGAGATGTTATTCACCGCACTTGATGAAACTAATATCAAAATATAGTGATACCTTGAAATAAAAAATGAACTTTGGGGGCCTAATTAATTGTAGCCCTAATTGTAAGTAGAGCATAAACGATACAGGGAGCATGTACAAGAAGAAATTCAACACATCAAATAATAAGGAAAAACCAAAAATAAATGAACGAATTAATGAACGTTATAATAGCCACCGCTAAAACTATGAATTTCATATGGATGAGATACAGCACATACACACACACAAAAAAAAAAAAAAAAAAAAAAAAAAAAGTACCTTGTGAAGATGAAACTTGTGGCCATCGACATCAAAGGTTATGTCACTTGACAGATCTGAGACAACCGAACTGCATCACAATGAAGCCCATCGAACATCAAACTCAACTCAAAATTCAGGGGGAGCGATGACATGGAGCAGCAAATGTTGAAAACGCATTGAGTAGCAATCTAGCCCCTGCATTCTGATTTGACACATTACCCATGAACACACTTCGATAGTCACACTTACGTAATATTGCCCCGGACGGTGAAGATATCCGGCTTTGACCCCAACTTCATGAACTTCATTGTAGCAACCTGGAGCTTCAATCTTGCTCTGTACTATGCATCCTTTACCCAATCATACTCCTCAATAGCCTGTTAAACCTGCGCGCCGAAGTTCATTCATGCTTATGTACGTGTGCAACAAAATCGTAAGTTCACTGCTCCAGTCTGCTCAGATGGTCTCTAATTAATATATAAATGAATTTCAAACTATTCCACCCTCTCTTGTGATTTTGAGACATTCTGCCCAATTTATCTTAAAGATGTTTCCTACTACCAGGTTCTGGTATATTGCTTTGTACCTTCTCCAGCAACACTAAAGAGTTACCATAGCGCTGAATGACTGATACGTGCAGTCTCGGTCATAAGGATTTGCTAAATGTCCACGCTCCTTTTCATCTAACAGGACTCTTGAGACTACGCCATAGAAATTTCTCCACGTACCCAGGCTTGCACTTGCCACCACACAAGAGGACCCAATCCGTGTCTCAACGATTGAATGGCTCACCCACTAGACACGGCTGCGTGCCTGCCGTCTGCCGCCTTCTTTGTCGTT